AGTTATCCCAATTTACTGTGTTGAGTTGGCATTGTACAGAAATTAACAGCCATACTGGTCCAGAAATATTTTTTTCCATCTGTACAGGGGTAACACACTGTATTAAATATGTAAGGTCATATCTATGTGGGTTTGATTACAGAAGCTAATAAAGTATTCTCTAAATAATAAAAAAAAGAATAAGATAAGACTACAAGAGCAAGAAGCAATTTAAATATGTTAAGGGACCATTTTTATCTTCAGAATTAAGGATTATTTTAATATTATATCATTGCCTTTTCTCTTTTACTTTCCTTTTTAGTTTTATTTTAGGATTTCCTATTTTTAATGTTTATACAGAGATTTCTTTAACTGAAATACCGAATAGTTTCTCTGGTTTGAAAAACTATAAGAGTACACAAGATCCTAATGAGGTAATTAATAATGTGAAATAGGAAGAAAATGGCTAAAGGTGTAGGGAAAGTGGGAAGGGTGGGGCAAAGGTAATAAGGGAGAGGAAAAAAAATAAGAAAATGAAAAAATGGAAATATAGTGTTTGTAAATGGGGAGGGGAGGAGGGGGTGAAGGGAGGGCAGGGACAAGGGGGAAAAATGAGAACCAAGACCTGTCATGTAAAAAGGTGTAGGGAAAGTGGGAAGGGTGGGGCAAAGGTAATAAGGGAGAGGAAAAAAAATAAGAAAATGAAAAAATGGAAATATAGTGTTTGTAAATGGGGAGGGGAGGAGGGGGTGAAGGGAGGGCAGGGACAAGGGGAAAAAAATGAGAATCAAGACCTATCATGCAAAGGTACAGGATCCCAATAATGAATGTAACTGTATTGTATACCTAGATTGTTGTACTGATAAACTCAATTTAAAAAAACTTATGTAATGATAAAAGTTACTAATGTACAGTCTGCTACAATCCACACTCTGCTAGGCACCTGTATCTTATTAAATGCTCAAGGAAACTGGCAAATATTGTTCCTACCTCATGGCAGAAGAAAGTGAATCTTAAAAAACTAAGATATATACACTGGTACTGAAAGCCAGGATATACCCTCAGCGCTTCTTAACTTAATATACATTGCCTAAGTAATTACCAACATTTCAGAAGTACAGTTAAAAAGGACAAATTAAATGAGATATGACAATGCTACCTGTTTACTTTGATGATAATTTTGTTAAGTGCTAAACTATCACGAAATATTTTCTCCTCCAAAACATAAATTCAACAGTAGTTGGTCCTCTTTTTCTGAAGCTTCCACGTTAATGAATTCAACAAACCTGGTACACAAATATTTGGAAAAAATTGTATATGTGCTGAATATATTGTCCTTATCCCCTAAAACTGTAACGACTGTTTATATAGCATTTACATTATAGTAGGTATTATAAGTAATCTAGAGATGGTTTAAAGTATGCAGGAGGATGTGCATGGGTTATAGGAAATACTAGGCCATCTATACAAGGGTTTTGAGCATCTGCAGCTTTTGGCATCTTGAAGGAAAGAAGGGTTTCTGGAACGATTCCCCACCAGGCACCAAGGGACCAATAAACCTAGCTAGTAATTTAAAAATATTTCATAAATGTTATTTGTTTAATCCAGTTGCTCTTATCTAGGAGTGGTTTTGTCACCCAGTGACATCTGATAATGTCTGAGGACAGTATCAGTTATGCCTGGGGATGGAGTTGTGCCTGGGGAACATGCTCCTAGCTTTACTGGGTCAGAGCTGATGATGAGACTGCACACAGAACAATGCACAAGACAGTACCCACCACCAGTGGAGAATGATCTGCCTCCTGTAACACTGAAGTAGAGAAGACCCAATTTAATCAGAATTCAAATGTCACACCTCAAAGTTGCAGTCATATTTAAAAAAAATATTTCCAAAAAAACTATTGCCTTGTGTCATTGAAGGACCCAACACACCATGACAAATCCACCAGCACCAAGCCGATGTGACTGAGGAAGTTTCTAATTCCATTCCCCCCTAAAAGAAAGAACAGCTTGCGAATGACTAATCTTCTGTTGGTATCAAGAAACGTACAAAATGAGTTTGAAACCAAGTTATACCAGAAAGAAAACTGCCAAAGTCTACTAGGGTTTGTGTTAAAAGAGCTCAGGAACCAACCTGAGATGGTTCTGATTGGTAAAATTCAGGCTGTTTGGGCATCACCGTGTAACAACATCAAACGAAACACCATATATGACCAATTATATGCACTCACTATATTAAAAAAATAACAACCCAAACTCATCCTTTCTGTTCCTCTTTATATCTTGCTAGTTTCCATCCATTATTTTAAAAACTGGTGAAGAGATAAAAAGACAAATTTATTGCCTCCCTTTTCTGACTGAATTCTATATACATGATAAAGTACCTTACATGAGGTTTGCTTTTGTAGAAATATCTCAGCTAATAAAGAAATGCTTGCTACAGACGATCACAATCACCCTTTTTCAATTCCTAGTAAAGACACACACACAAGTACCAAAATTCAAAGTCAGGAAAGGTAACATGTCTACTAATGGAAGTACAAAATACCAATTATGAAATGGGTTTTGGTTATTCTTTTATTTTCCCTTTCTTTTCTTTCTCCTTTTCCTTGTTCCTCTCTTTCCTCTCCTCCTCTTCAATATCGAGACAGTTTGAGGAAGTTGCCCTGGTTGGGCTTGAACTTGAGATCCTTCTGCCTCATCCTTCTAGAGTACTAAGATTACAAGTGAGTACCTGCCACCCCCCTAGCCCTGAGGGACAATCTATGCTGCTCAGGCTGGCCTTGAATTCTGGGACTCAAGTGATCCTACTGCCTCAGCCTCCTCAGTAGATGGCCCTAGAGTGAATGCCACTGTGCCTGGCTCCTATAAAGTACTACCAAAAATGTTATCTCCAAAACCTGATCACATCTTTAGATTTAATAGTAAATTTACAAATAAGAGGGGACAAAGAAACATTAGAACAATTAGAAGTGATACCCCAGGATGCATGAATAAAATTCTGAATGAGACAAGCTGTAAGGTAAATGACATGGTTTCTTCAATTAATTAATTGCAAATTTCAAAAAATAAAAGTAAATTTTAGAAACATTACTTCTATAAAGTAACACTGGATTTTATGGCAAATCACAACAGAATTTCAATGATACTGGAAACAAAGCAGTATGTATCAAAATTAAGATAGCTAAAGCAGAACTTAGCAGTAAATATATATTAAATGCTTTTAAAATGTTTAGAAAACTAAAAAAATTATGACAATAATTTCTAGGGACTACTCTAGAAAAGCAAAGACGGTCAATACCAATACATATAAGGAAAACTATATTCGATAAATTAAAACGGAACTCTGATTAATATAAATAAGCAGCTTGCATTTTGCACAAAGAGCTTGACCATGCTGACTATGTACAGTGATAAACATGTGGACACCACTTTATCATTTAAGATTCTTACATATACCAGATTGATTTCTTAGAACAATGCTGTGAAGGAGGTGCCAAAAGTTATTCTGAGCCCTTTTGGGGGGATGCTAGCATTTATCTGCCAGGTGTAGAAAATGTAAGCAGTGGTTCACCCCATTTCACATCTAAGAAACAAGGGACCAGAGGTTTAAATAACTTAAGACACATGAGCATTAAATGGTAATAATGAAACTAGTATCCATTTAGATATTAATACTGTGGTTTTTCTTTTTTATGTCATTTTCATTTTAAGACAGAATCTACTAAAATGAATGTGGATATATAATTAAATTTAGTTAGAACAGTAGGCTGGAAATTCACATGGAGGCATAGCATGATAAATGTAAGAATACTTCAAATGTTGATTTCCAGACATCTGGTCATCCTCCACACTAATTGATCTGTCTTCACTTACGACTTTATGTAAGGGTGACTGCATGAGGGTTAAACACAAGTCAAGTGAATACTTCAGCTTACTTAGAAAAATTTCTTCTTTGTAGAAGAGAGGGTGAAAGTACCTGCATGCAAGGTTCAAAAGAAGTGATGATATCAATAAAATAAAATAAAAATGAAAAAGGAGGTAAAAAACATTTATAACATTTGGATTGCCCATGTACATGCTGACACTGTAAAGGAGCTGTTTTAATTTCACTATTCCAATCTCTTAAGGTTCTCCTTCCATAGCTGAAAAAGAATATCAGAAATCAATGCATTCAACATTCTCAAAATGAGGCTAAAAAGATTATGGAATTTGCTTGGGGTTACATATGTGGAGAGTGGCAAAGTCAAGAGCGAAAGCCAAGAACAAGTTACAGAATGTTGTTTCTAGAAAGAACCACAGACACACCTTTTCCCAGTTTTAAAATTATTACTATATAAGTGGGAAGCAAAATCCAGACAGATAAAGCTATTTCCTGTAAGAGGTTGGCAGGGCCAACAAAGCCTCAGAACTAAAATGCCTATTTTCTGACTCTTAGCCAGTATATAATCTAAGGTCCTAACAATTTTCAACTTTGATGTGGCTACTTCATGACAGCCACTAATTATAAATAATCACACTGCTACTTATGTGGCTTACTTCGTAGAACCAAGCGTTACCACTGTGCTTCAGGAAAATTGGAGATAGTAAAGAAAAAGATTGCAATAATATGTAATGTGTAGTTTATTAAGGTTCTTTTTAAAGCAAGTTTGGTAATTATTAGAGTAATCAATTATCTAAGCCTATACTTTTTAATGGGGAACAAAAGACTTTCAGTGTTTATTATTGGACAATTTTTAATTAAGTTTTTTCTCGGAAAGTAATACATGCTTATTATAAAATCCTATAATAAAGAAATATGAAAAGTAATTCATGGCTGTATCACCCAAAGGTAAGTACTATTAAAATTTTTATGTATTTCCTTTCAGATTTCATGTAAAATTTTTTATTGTATTAAACACATTTATATGTTTTAAAAACTAATTACAAGCTTTTTCCATGTTATTACAAAGTGTTCACAAATTAATGGCTACAAAAGAAAAAAAAAAGTCCTATGATCAGTGCATTGTCATTTTCCTGGACAATTCAGCGGAAATAATCTGAGATTCTCTACATTACCATAGCACTTATATTATCACCCCCCAAAAAAACCTTAGCAAAATTATTCTTCTTGTGTGAGAGTAAGGAATATAAATATATTCACACACAGGATGGTGTAACTATTAAGTATTTATTGAAATTATAACAATTAAATTCAGAAGTCAAGAAGGAGGGGAAATTATAATTTTTTGGGGGGTACTGGGGATAGAACTCTGGTCCTTGCACTTGCGAAGCAGGCAGGCATCTTACAATTATTATTATTTTTTGGGGGGGGTATCAGGGATTGAACTTGGGTCCTTGAGCTTGCAAGGCAGGCCTCTGAACCGCTGAGCTAAATCTTCAGCCCTCTTACAATTATTTTTAAGAAATAAAAACCAAAGATTGTCTAAGAATCTTTTTGAGAATGCGTATGTTAATAATGTTAAAAAAGCAGTAATATTAGAAGCTTATTTTCAATTTACCCAACTTCATATTACAAGCCACAGTTGCTACTGATTCGTGTATCTCACCTTGTAAAGGTAACTTACTGAAGACAGTGACAGAAGCGGTTACAGAAGGAGCAGGCGAAAGAGGTAAACTGTACAGATCATGCTTGTTCAAGTATAAAACAACATTGGGTTGAAAAAGTAGTCTACAGATTACATAATGCCACATCAGCATAATTTTGAACTTCTCTATGCATAAAGTATACAATTGCCCCTTCACTAAATTTTTCCTTATCCTAGTAAAATGGATTTATGTTGAATAAGACTGCTTTTGTTAGACATCACACATACCAACATTGCCTAATATCTCCAAATTTTAATATGTTACATTGTTTGTATACATTAAAACTATAAACTATCTGGAAAGTTTATGCGATTAGATTGATTCATTTTTTAGATTTTATTTTCAGTACTAACTTTAGAAAAGAAATTGGAGAGAAATTTCCAAATTGGAATGATAATTAAGCCAACACAAAACCACAGTGACTCTACTATATTAGAACAATGAATTTACATGTAAATTTTATTTTCCATTTAAATATAAAAGCCACAAAGAATTGTGTTAAATTAGACCAAAAAAGCCAGGAATAATGAATGCAAATTTAGTCCTAATTACTTGGGAGGCTGAGGCATGAAGGTCCCCTGAGTTCAGAATAAAAGACAAGCGAGGGCAACAAAATGAGACACCTGTGTCAGAAAGAAAGGACAAAGAGGAGGAGGAAAGGAGAGAGAGAGAGAGAAGGAGAAAGGGGGAAGGGAGGGAAGAAAGAAGAAAAAAGCTCCACAAAAATTAAAATTTATAAGTAAATAGAAAATTATAAAATGTAAATGGTAGCTGAAAAGACAAGTTTTATTCATATTTCAATAAATAAATGATTTATATTTAATTTACATTTCGTATTTTCTTTTTTGTGGTACCAGAGATCGAACCTGGGTACTTGCGCTTGGCAGGCCGGCCACCGAACCGCCGAGCTAAATCCCCGGCCCCAACATTTCGTATTTTCTTATTCCCAATGCTATGTATTTACTTGTCTATAGGATCAATTAACTCGCCATTATGAACCTGAGAGAACACACACACACACACACACACACACACACACACACACACCTGAGTATATATTTAAGTAAATGAGTCAACTAAAACATCGAACTCACCTCCACTGATATCCATGGCATATAATTCTCTCAGGCCCAGATCATTAAGAGACACTGTCAAGTCGAGGGGTTCCTGAGATTGATAATCTTTCAGCAGCAGTGTGTGCAATGGGTCAAACTCACACTTGCTACAGATAATAGGCACGAGTTCTTGAAGCGATGCGTGTGGACTGACTCTTACTATGGTCTTCTGTGTTTTCTTAAAATTGATCACTACTCTCACGGTTTTCTGAAACACAGATTAAAGCCATAGTTACACCATAATTTTCTGAAACAAACTTTCTATAACGGTGTCTGGAATAACAAGTGAATCTGCAATTACGTATTTATACAACGAACAGTTCTTTACTATTCTGGTGTAAAATTCTTTTTCAGTCATGTTACTTTCTAAATCTAAAGCAAATTCTAAGAAAAAAAAATACTGGTTTAAGTTATCTAAAGTCCCAACCCTTACATAGTAAAATATTAAGTTGATTTAAACCAAAAAGGATCAAAAGTCTCATATCTAGTACTAATATTTTTACATTTTTCTTAAATACTTTAAAATCAGCACTACAAATGCTTTATTGTGTCATTTATTCAAGAAATATTTGTATTTTGAATGCGATGTCAACTGTCTTAATGAAAAAATGGGTATTTTAAAAAAACTAAAATATTTGTATTCTCTCTATTCAAAGTAGGACAAAATAAGAGAGCTTCATGATATTTCTCATATCATGTTATCAATACATGAAGAGTAATGACTGTGAGCAGCTTTTGTTATTCTTACTGTATTATACTTTGGTTAATTTAAATACAATGATAATAAAATTTTTATTTAGCTAATACTAATAGTTCAAAATTACTAGGAATTTTTAAACCATTTTGTCTTATTTATGTATGTTAGCAACACCTGGTTATACTTAGTGAAATTTACAGTTTGCAGATCCTTAAAGACATTTATTCATAAAAGCCATAAATATAATTGAGGGGCCTTGATACTGATAATCTATGTTCTACAGAATACAAAAAGCTACTTTCAGCATGATAAATAATATGGATATGCAATACATAAGAACAAACCTAGATAGTAGGCAATCCAATATCTTAGATAATATTTAATATCCAATCACATATTAAAGTGAAATGTTTATTATGAAAAATACTGCCAACTTTTTTGTAAATGTTTCATAATATGAAGAAAATGCAAATACGCATATTCCAATAGTATCTAAATGAACTACTATTTAATAGTGTATACAAGATTTCATTTATGACATGAAAAATGGTTGATGTTCATAATAAAAGAATTTTTTTTTTTGGTACCAGGATTGAACTCAGGACCTTAAGCTTGTGAGGCAGGTGCACTGCCACTGAGCTAAATCCCTGGCAAGAATATTTCTTAATATCAAAAACTTCTACAGCATTATGGCAATAGAATAATTTTATAAAGAACTCTGATAAAGGGACTGGGAATATAGCTCAGTGGTACAACATTTGCCTAGCATGTGCAAGGTCCTGAATCTAATCTTCAGTACTGCAAAAGAAAGTATAAGTACATTACAAAATATATAAAGAACTGATCACATTAGAATAATTTTGGTTAAAAATATACATTAAAGAAAACTGAGTCACTGTGTAGCATGAAAAACAGTAATTTGGCCATGAGGAAGTTACAACTGCCACTTATTAGAGAAGCCAAAATATTATTTTAATAAATTAAAAAATATAATTTCATTAAAAGTTCTAAAACTTTAAATATAACTTTTTTTTAGTACCAGGGATTGAACTTGGGTCCTTGCACTTGTGAGGCAGGCGGCAGAACCACTGAGGTAAATCCCCAGACTAAATATAACCTTTTAAAATACAACTTAAAACACAGCACACCCATTCTGGTTCACCTTTGATACAATCATATTGCTCACATTATTATTATTGTTATTATTTTTGGTACCAGGGATCAAACTCAGGACCTTACACATGCGTGGCAGGTGGCAAAACCACTGAGCAAAATCCCTGGCCCATATTGCTCACATTATAGCATCTACTGTCTAAGCTATTCCCCCAATTCTCATTGATCCAAGGATCAATAACCAAATGAATCCTAAATGAAGTGGCCCAGTACAACATAGTAATCATGTTCAGATCAAATTTGATCAGAAAGTCAATTTTTATTTCATTTATAATGAGCTTCAGATAGTGACTAAAAAAATCAACTTAATAGTTCAGTCATTAGACATCATAATCTACGGTGGAATCCTTACCTCTGGTATTATAGGTGTAGGTTTTTTCTTATCCAAATTTTTTGGCTTCAAAATTACTTTCTCTACGTCCAACATTCCTATTGGTGTGTTTGGCTTAAATTTAATGTTATGCTTCTCAGCTGACAGCAGGTCAATTGTGTAGCTCGAGGGATTTAAGTGATATTGCGCACACAGGAATATCAACAAGTCCATCATAGGCTTACTGAAAAACAAGAGTGATGCTGATCATACACGTCCATAAAATGATTTCATTAGCTTTGAAAGTTATTGTTTTGAGAATTATTCTTAGGGTATGTTTATCTTCAATAGACAAAGTACAACTACTATATAGTACCTGTGAAAGCATCTTTAAAAAAATCTATGTTATTTAAGCAAGCTGGGTGTGGAGGCACATGCCTATAATCCCAGTTGTCTGGGTAGCTGAAGCAGGAGGATCACAAACTCAATTCCAGCCTGGGCAATTTAGCAACTTAATGAAAACACAAGAGGCTAGGGTATTAGTCAGTGCAAAGGTCTTGGGTTCAATCCCAAGTACCAGAAAAAAAGATATTAAGCAGACAAAATTGTAAGAGTTAAAAAGTCCTACATAGCTTGGAAGAGAGCTTAGTTCTTAATGTTGGCTCAATAATTACTATATGTTTTTATTTGCCCTTTTTCACATTATAAATTTGAGGAGGAGGAGGAGTCCTTTCCTTAGGCAGAACAGGCATTTAGTTTAGCAGCACTCCTTCACAAAACTGTTTGGAGCAATGGCAGCCCTTAGTTTATGAATTGGATGTACTCCACAGTTCTCAAAGAATGAAGCTTTCGGAACAACCACCACCTTTTTGGACTTAGAAAGAGCAAGAATTACCGATGTAAGGAGACCCACAAAATCCTAAAGAGTGCAATACAGATTTCTTTAAGTCAAAGAGTATTTACTTAATATTTCTTAGGCTCCAGCATCATAGCTCAGTATTAGGGGTACCTGTTACCTAGATATAACTCTCTACTAGATAGACTAAGTAGGACAAGAGTCACAAAGTCCAACCTGCAGGCTAAAATGGGCATAGTGTGTTTGTAAAAATAAAGTTTTTCTGAAACATAGCCAGGTCTGTTTCTTTCCATAATAGCTCGGGCTGCTCTTGTGTTACCACAGCAGTTTGAAGTACACCCGATGTAGACTGTACAGACCACAAAATCAGTATTTTTTATTGTCTGAGAGAGAAAATGTTTACAGGCCCACGTGTTAGACAATAAAAAAGTAACCAAGCTGGGTGCAGTGGTTCATGCCTATGTTCCTAGTCCTGGGGGAGGCTGAGGCAGGAATTTGGTGATTTACAAGACTCTGCCTTAAAATAAAGAATACACAGGACTAAGGATGTAGCTCAATGGATGTGAAGGCTGTAGCTTCAAATCCCGGTACTGTGCCAATAAAAAGTAAATGCATGAGATCGTTAAATACTAATGGCAATACAGCACCTATTTTTATAGGAATTTGCATACTCAATTTGAGATTCATTTTATTTATTTATCAGTATATACTGGTCATACATAATTACATTCATCTCAGATAATTCATATATATGCATTTTACAGTCTAGTCATTTTTACTTATTTTTTTTATCCCCAGATCCTCCAGATACTTCTCAGTCTTTTGGTTGGCTTTGCAAAGACGTCAGTAGTTGACACAGACCAGTTTTCATCTACACCATCCACAGATCAGTGTGATCTCTGGGTCTTTGTTAGCTTTTAAGGAACAAACTCTGAAAACTCTTTTTGTTATCACCTGATTTACTTAAATGCCTGGCCCTCCTAGATTGTCAGTTCCCACACAGGAAAAAGGCACTAAAACACCATACAGAAGTCCTGTTCTCATAGATGGAGGTGTAGGTTCGGGGTTTGGGGTAAACAGGTGACAGGCCATTTTGCCCCACCGGAAATATACACGTCAGTAAAAACGAGTCTCCAGTTTCTTAACTGCAGATAGAAACCTAACTACTGGCCCTCAAGGACAGGAGGCTAGGAATCTCATTCTTCAGCATGCCTATTTTCACGTGGCCCCTCTCCACCCTCTCCTGGTTGAAGAAACTGTTTGGGACCTCTTGGGCTTTAGTTTTGCCACAGAAAGAGTCTCCTGCCAGGGTGGGGAATGGTCAGTTGTTTAGAGCTGTGTGATCTCAAAGTCAAACAAAATTGTACATAGATTTTCAGCTCTGCCTGTGGTCAGCCCCTGCATCACCCTCTCCTTCTTGGTTGACTGCAGTTCCTAGGCTGCCAGCATCCCATGTCTGTCACAAAGTGGTGCATCCCTTAATGGCCTCGCTTCTCTTCTCTCCCACTCTACAGACATCAAGAGAAGTAAATGTACAAGACTAAACCCTATAATTAAAAATGTTCTCTGGAATATGTTTTGTGCTTCAAAATATATTCCCTATGTCTCTGTCGCTGTTACAAAGTAATATGTAGGAGTTTCAAGTCCTCCTCCTAAGCAGCACACTATGCCCACATATAAATGTATCCATAGTTGCCTAAATTTTGATTTTCAACAGGACATTCTAATTTTACCCAAAGAAAGACTGGCCTAGTGGTCATACGAAAGTTTCTCTTTATTTTATTCATTAAGTTTATTGGTACATTTTAGGTACACATCATGACTGCACTTATCAGTGGGAATTTATACCTGCACATGATATAGCCTGGTTCTTGATTTTGCAAGTCACCTTCCCTCCCTTCCACCCCTCCAACTCCTTTACAGAAGCTTTGTTTCCATTTTTTATTTTCTCATATTTTCTTTCCGCTCTTTCCTTCTCCCACCCCACCCCAGGTCCCCTTACCCTTTGAACCTTTTATTTCTTGGCAATATACTACTCTGTGGGACCAAACTGATGCTGCATATCGGTTCTACATTTGGAAATGGTACTGTCTTTGAGAGTAGAAAGAGTTAAGAAGAACTAGATAATGTCTACGTAAATATAACACAAATCTATTTGTTATGTACAAGCTGGAAGACAGAACTTACACTGCCAATCAAATAGAGCTGTTTGCTCTTGTCTCTGTGGAAGTGGTCTTCAGATTGTATTTCTCTCTCTCTACATATACAGCAAATGTGTCAAGTAATAAATGTGAAAATATTAACAGGTACAACTCAAACATCTTTTACTTCCTAAGTACATAACTGTTTATAAATCTGTCTGAAATATAAGTTAAAACAAAAGTTGTAATTTTAACTGTTAAAAGTATTTAAGGAGGGGCTGGGGATTTATCTCAGTGGTTCTGCCGCCTGCCTTGCAAGCGCAAGGTCCCAAGTTCGATGCCTGGTACCAAAAAAAATAAAAACCCAACCAAACAAACAAAAACGGTATTTAAGGATAAGAACACTTCAGTTTTAATTGGTGGGACTGAAAAATTCTGTATCTAGGCTCCGGTACCACCCTACACCCACAACTCGTCAGCCTCTGCTGGGGGAAGCGGTCATGGGCCTCCAAAAGCTGTTCTTGGAGGACTACTTTCCTCCTTTCCTCTCCCAGCATCCTAACCCCCTAACAATGACCCTTCATAATTTAGTTTATTTTTTATGATTCAAAATACCAAGTCAGAACATTTCTGAAAGTCGGAAAATGCAGATAAGCCAAAAAAATTAAAACACGTTATTACTGAGCAGGCAGATTACACTACTCTTAATGTTGCGGGATCTGATCTCCTCGTCACAGACACATATGTGTGCTCACACAATGACACACATACAGGTCCGTGTACAGTCTTGGCAGTCTACTGCCTATGCCATCTGTAACTTGCTTTTGTCCAGTTACTGTTTTCCGATTTTCATGTCAAGAGAACTTTACAGTATCCTCTGTATTCAAACCATGCCAATCACAGAGAGATATTTATGGTGCTTTGTTTTTATAAGGAATATGTGCATATGTTTGCTAGACATTTTCTTAAGTCAATTTTTATAAAGGTAACAATTTATAATTGCCTCTGAACATTCAAGATAAATGACCAGTAGAGTCCAGTATAAAGCGGTGACTTTCAAAGAACTTTTTTTCTTTATAAGTGTCTCTTTTCGGTATTTAAAAGTTTTATCAGCTATGACTACCCATTCTATTATCTTCAAATCTTATTTATGTTATCTTCTTTACAATGTTTCTTCTGTTGTAATTCTTTTTTAATTGTATATATTTACAACATATGTTTACTCGCATTTTGGGGAATTAGTATACATATATGTCCTATTTTAATAAGTTTTGATCCTCTTCCCCCCATCCCAATCTCCCTTCTCCATTTCCAAAGAGACTATCTTCCCTGCTTCCTCTCTTCTTTCACTGTCTATATTTTGGGTTATAGGAGAAACCATATCGAAAATAGACGTTTTCTATTTTCATTTGACAAAGCTATACCTCTCCTGGGTGTAATCCCTGAAGAGTTAAAGTCATCATCATGCTATAGTAATACATGCATGCCCTTGTTTATAGCCACACAATTCACAATAGCTAAGCTCTGGAAGGAGGCCAGATGTCCATTAACAGATGAATGGATAAAGGAAATGCAGTATTTATACACGATGGAGTCTTATTCAGCCATAAAGAATGAACTGATGCTATCTGCAGCAACATGGGTAGGTATTGGGCCCTTAAGTGAAATAAGTCAGGAGCAAACTTAGAGCATGATTCAATAAGCATTCTCAACTTTGACATTAGATTTGTTATACGTATTGGACTTACTCCATTTTGTGTACACATGGGTAGTTAGCAATGACCTCAGTGGGTTAACATAACATGGATACATATCAGTAATAATGGAAAATAGTTTTTAAATGTCCATACTATTATTTGTATGTCTACTCAGGTTGTTGGTATACATTTATAAGGGACATAATTCAATTCAACTCAGTATTGAAGGTTTATTAAAAGTAAGTAGAATACATTTTTAGATACCAGGGCAGACATATAGAATCCTAGAACAAGAAAGAATCTTATTCAGACATGCGTGCATATTAGATGCTTGAAAGCCATCACAAATACTATCATTATTCACTTCTGCTTTCCTAGGACGTCCCTAATGACATCTTTTATTCTGAGGTCATTACTAATAGAATAGCATCCTTTCAATACGGTGTTACAAACTGGTTAACAAATTCTGTAGCAAACTTATCATTAAGTCACCTTGTTTAGAACACATGTAGGATGTGGAAATTCACAGACGTTTTGGCACATCTTGTAT